GTATGGAAGCTTTGGTGGCAGCTTCTCTGAAATTCCTCCATGAAACTGTGATGCTGATAATTGCCTATTTATTCATCTGAGTGTTGGTTACCAGGGTGCTTAGTGTGTGAAAATAATTGAGCTCTGTAAGATGATATGTGCACTTTTCTGTGTATGGTCTACTTTTTGCAATAAAATGTTAAGACGAAAACCAGAATAGTCAGGCCATGGTAAAAAAAAAAATCTATATGCCTTTTCACATTTGTTTCAGTTGAACAAGAAAAGAAGGTCTACCCTGTGGTACCGAAAGACAGAAAAGGCCGATCACAGATAAATTCATATCTGCATTATTTATGGATATCCAAACCGCAACTCAACCGATTAAGACCTTAGCTTTAGATTAACCCTATGCCAAACGTAGAGTAATGATAGATCTTTCTTATGTGAATTGAAGCATCCCACGGTTCACATTCAATTTGAACTTTGATAGCAATTTTGAGGACTCTATCAGGGCCTGTAGCTGCATTAGGAATTGTGAAATATTGTGAGAAACATTTCCTGGCTCATTTCAATTTGGTGTATAATAACTCAGCTTCACTGCTAATGGTATCTTAAGGTGGAAGCCATAAAACTTGTGCATGAAAGAATTACAGGGAAAGAAATATGAGCCTGACATTCTGACCTGAGGGTCAGAGAGTGAACTTGTAGATAAAAAACTCAGGGAGACATCTTCTTTAGAGGAAGATTAGGATAGGGAATATGTATATGAGGGAAAGGAATTAGGAGTTGCTCTGTTTGACACATTTAACCCATTTTAGAGCGAGCAAAGTTTAACATAATGTAGACGATAAAATTATATTTTGAGCCATTATTAAACATTGATTTTAAGATACTGATGCATACAATAATATGTATGTTTTTGGAGATAATTAATTTTTAATATTTTAGATGTGGGGAATTATTTGTCGGGTTAATTGGTCATACAAATGTTCAAATAATCACATCAATTCTAACACAATCAATCTTAAGTATTACATGTATAAAATATATAATATATATTTATAAACATATATTATTATATACAGACATAAGTATTATATACAATATAATTAATAATATAAAAATAGAATTAATATAATTAATAATAATATATAAGTATTATATATAATATTTATGTTTATGTGTATATATCCTAATTAAATAGTTGTGTGTGTGTGTGTGTGTGTGTGTATCCTAATCAAACTAACATTGTATACTGAGTTCTATTTCACAGAGTATTTTGACTTAGGAATGACATTACATATATCAAACATTGTGCATGCACTACATACAGACCAATAATTCCTAGGAAATTATAGTCAAAACAATCTGTTCATATTTCCCAAAGAAAATGTGATTTTTAATTTTTAAAAATGGTAATATAAGATAATACTATCTTTGTAAGAAACTCAAACATTACCAAACAAAGAAAATACTATCAGAAGTCCTTGATCTCTTCCCTGTTAACCACTTTAGACCAGAGGGGCAAAAAAAACTTATTAACAATTACTACACATTTCAGTAGCTTTTGTGCTTTTCAAGTCAATATGTATTTATCTACCTTTTTCTTCATATATAACAGAATTTTTAAAGCTTAAGTGGATCATTGTTTTCTGTAACTCTTCTTCCCACTTAACAATACATTTTGAAGTTGTCTTCTATGTTAATAGACATATATATACATACCCCAATCTGTTTAACCACTGCGTATTCTTCAACATTATGAATGTATCATAATTTTGCTGACCTATTTCCAAAATGTTCACTATTATAAATAACAATATAAGAACTTACAATTTCACATAAGATGCTTCTAAGCACAAGCTCTGGGGTCAGACATTTCTGCTATCTAACTAGTGTGAACTCTTGAGTGAGGTATTTAATTATTTTGAGATAAATATTTTTAACCTATAAGAAAACAAATAATAAGTACCAACATCACAGGGCTACTGTGAGTAGTAAGTGAGTAACAGGTCCTTAGCATAGAACCTGGAATCTAGAAAATATTTAGTAAATACTAGATAATGCTATGCATGAAATATATATATTATAAACATGCCTTATGTATTTTATACATATATATATGGTTACAGGGAAAGAAATATGAGCCTCGCATTCTCACTAACTATATATAGATCTATATATAGTTAGTTTATAAGGCATATTTATAATATATATACTTTATACATAATGTATAATATCACCTTTATAATGCATATATTTTCTAATGTGTTAAATGCCTCTAACATACTGAGATATAAAATGCTCAATATGTGTTAGTATATTTTTCATGCATTCTTCTCTATTACTAACATTTAATGTTTAGAACACCTGTAAAAGCAGTTCTTATGAACATTTATAGTAGTTTTATAAAAGTAGAACACTGAAAAATACCAATCATTTGTTAATAATGTCATTTGTCAACATTTTCAGCCAACCAAGATATTTTTATTGCTATAATATTTACAAATTTTTATGAGATACATGTCATATTTTGTTACATGTATAGAATGTGTAATGAGCCAAGTCAAGCTATTTAGGGTATCCCTCCTCTCAGGTATTTATTTCCATGCGGTAGGGACATTTCAAGTCCTCCCTTCTAACTATTTTGAAATATACAATACGTTACTGTTAACTATACTCACCTACTCTGCTATCAAACGTGGGGACTTATTCCTTCAGTTTAACTGTATGTTTGTACCCATGGACCAACCTCTCTTCATCTCCCACTGCATATAAGCCTCTGTTAACTGTCATTCTCCTCTCTCCCTCTATGAGATCAACTTTTACTTCTCACATAGTGCATATGACATACAGTATTTGTCTTTCTGTGTCTGGCTTATTCCACTCACTTAACATAATGATGCCCAGTTCCCTCCATGCAGCTAAAAACAACAGGAATTTAGGCTTTTTATGGCTGGATAGTATTCAACTGTCTATATGCCACGATTTCTTTCTTTATCTGCTGTGGGACACTTGGATTGACTCCATGTCTTTGCTATGGTGCTATCTTGTGAATAGCACCAGAGTAAACATGTGACTGCAGGTATCCCTTTGATATAATTATTTCCTGTCCTTTGGATAAATACCCTGTAATGCAATTGCTAAATCATTTTTAACTACATATAATCTCTTGTTTTATGAACTGTTTTTTTTTTTTCAATTTTATGAGCTCAAATTACTCAGTCTTTTCCTTATGGTTTTAGGGAATTGTGTCATGCTTAGAAAAACATTTCACAAAAATTAAAACAATATTATCTTATGTTGGCCTATGATTTATGTTTTTTTAATGTTACCTTCTAAATCCTTCTGGAATATGTATTTTTATATCACGTGAAATAGACATCTCGTTTGTATTTTTTTCCAAACGAAAAGTCAATTGCTTTTAAGTCATTTTTTATTACTTTGCTCCATGAATTTGAAATGTCAATTTTGATGATATAACAGATAATTTCATATGCATGAGTCTCTTTATGGGGTCTCTATTTGGTCATTGAAATTAGTTAATTTTAAAAAAAAAAAAACTGTGATACATTTGGCTGCTTTGAGTATGAATGTTAACCTTGCCTTGTGGACACAATTGAAAAGATTTCCAACCACAGATATTTATTCCTTTTTCCAGAATAGGATAACAATCCTCAGTGCATTCATTATTCTACAATATATGGGTTGGGGCCTGGAGGAGAATTAGAAAGATGTCCCCAATCTGTCTCCAAATTGAACTATTTTCTCTTCTCTGCTGGAGCTGACCTTGCCTCCAGTTATTAGAATTTGACATGAAATGCTGCAGGCTGTGTAGTAGATGTTTTCTGTCTACCCTCTACTTTAGTCACCACAGCTTTCCCCCAACCATTAGGGAATTTGCAAATATTAATTCTTTTTTTCTGTCATCAGCCACGTTGACTAGTCCCTCTGCCTACACATTTTCCTCTCTAGGCCCAAACATGATATCCCTTGCCTTTTGAGACCTCCAAGAGTGTCTCTTCCCATTATATTTTCCAAATAGACTCTACTTTTTTGCAGTAATTTCCATTATCTTTTTCACAGAGGAGAATGATGGCGAGGCTCAAAGAGCTTCAATGACTTCCTCAGAGATGAGGGATGAACCTTATGTAGCCCCGTGACGTCTTCATAATCCACCACTGCCAAGCTGACGCTCCATTATCACCTTAGTAAACTGTTGTAAATGTGTGTGTGTCATGGTAGATTAGAGAATTATTGAAGGATTCTTTCTAAAATGATTTAAGGACTTGGCACACCCTAAGGCCTGGCTATCTACCTTTGAGGTGCTCGTAGTGGTGTAGGAAAAATGCACTACTTTCTTCTCCTCCAGCATAACGTCTCAGTGTATGAAGGTGTGTGACAGTGCATGCGTCTTCTGTTACAGTGTGTGTCATGATCAATCAACTCAAAATAAAGCTCTGGCCCTTTAAGTTAAATATTAGTGTGAATGGGTATTAAAAAGTGTTGAAAATTAGGACATTGATCCAGAAAGACTGAGGTACTTGCTTTAAAGGGGCAGTATAGCTCTATAATCTATAATTTAACTGTACACATTTGCATGCCTCTTTATCTCATTCTGAAAAGTTAATGTAATTGGAATCAACAGTTTATATGAAAATAATTATCATTATGGCAAACCATGGGACATAAATGGTAACTATGTTATTCATTAACATATTCTTTAGCTAAGGTGAAGATTAATAATTTTCCTTCATCTATTGTAAGGATGTGAAATGTTTATTTCATTAACAAGTTCAAACCACAGAGGTTAGCTGAGCCTCTAAAATACCACCAAATTTAAGTCTATAAAAATTTTATATTATAATTTGAACTGTAAAAACAAACATTTTATTTGAAAGGGTAAATTTTAGGACATCAAAATTAAATTAGAAAAAAATTGCTATTCTGTGTTACTGTACTTAATTTTATCTAAAATGGACATAAAACAAAAATACATATGTATATATTTGAGGGTTCAAATTTAGTTTATTTTTGAAAACCAATATAGTTAAATCATCTTACAGGCATATTGTAACAAGCTAAGTGGTAAGAATTTAGTATAGTTTAAACAGAAATACTGAAAAGAAATGGAGTTGCAGAATTCATTAGTGTAGTATTTATAAGATGCTTGGAACTAGAAGTCTGCAGGGATTTAGACTAAATGTGATGGAAGCCAACTCTCTAACAGGGGAAAGCCAATGACTACTCTGCAGCTTACACAAATGGAGAAACTTGGAATCAAAGTCTTGAAGTTCTCTTCCTGAAATAAAAAATGAGGAAGTCCATGAATTTCTAAATGCAGTCTCAATATGATAGCATAGCTGTTATCACATATATTTATTTTTGCTAGCTTAATGTTGAATCTATTGTAATCCATCTTGCTTAAATGAGAAAAAAAAATCATTTCTTGCAGTAACACAAAGGGTTAACAGAAAGACTAAAATTAACCTTTCTTTTATTTGTCTCTTTTAGAGTTCTGATCGCCTTTGATATGTCATGACCCAACAGGTGATGTACATCCATTCATTAAGTATTTATACATGTATTTCTTTATTAGCAACTCATAAGCTAAGTAATTTCAAGAACCCAGTTACTTGAAAAAGAATGTGATGATTACTAAAATTTAACAAATTCCATCATTAGATAATAAACAACATAATGTACATAAAATAGTATTATTAAATGTAAATCTTAAGTGTCCAAATTATAGAGACATCGATGAAGAACATATTTCAGATTATTTTTTCACTTATTATTGAAATATAAATTGTTATTAACAAGAAAGTTTCATTATTTCATCTGATCAAAACAAATGTCTGTTTTGAGTATAGCACTAGTCCCAGTAATATCAATATTATTATAAACAAAATTTTTATCCCTTCTTATCATTTGCTAAGCCCTTAAGTTGTCTTGACAATGTAGAAAGTTTAAATCAATATTGTTTGTGAGATTGGTTGTGTGGTGGCTCATGCCTATAATCCCAGCACTTTGGGGAACTGAGGCAGGAGGATTGCTCCAGCGTAAGAGTTTGAGACCCACCTGAGCAACAGAGTGGTACCCTGTCTCCACAAAAAATAAAGTTAATAAAAAATTAGTGACATGATGTGCCATGCACCTGTAGTCTCAGCTACATGGGAGTCATGGGAGGTCAAGGCAAGAGGATGGCTTGATTCCAGGAGGTTGATGGTGCAGTGATGCCTGAGTCACAGAGCAAGACCCTGACTCAAAAAAAATAAAAAATAAAAAGAACTGGTGGTGAGAATTTCTTGTTAACAAATTTAAAAATTCTATTTCAAAAGCTAGAGTTGTCTTAAAAGGAAAATTCATCAAAACCAAGTGATTATTATGGTGTCAAACACCAGAAACAATTATTTTAATTATTTCCTTTAAAATAATATTAATTTGAAGCCTAGCATTTAAGATGACCCAGGTTGAGGAAAGCTGCCTGGGGCAGATAAAGTCTTATCTGTGCATGCCCCACCTGCACCATAGCTCAGAGACTCTGCAAAGCGGCTCACCCCCTTGGGTTTTATAACAAGACATGCTGGTTTGAAATGTTGAAGGACATCCTATTTCGAAGGAGGGCTGAAAACAAGTCAGATGTTTTTTAGTTAGCCCTTTCTCTTTCAGCATGTTTTATTCCCAGAACATTCTGCAGTTATTCTGAAGCACCACCTAGAATAGGGTAGATCTGGATTGGCCCAAAGTCACTTAAAAGACTGTCCTACAAGAGTATGCACCATGGACCAACAGCACAGCATCACCTGGACACTCACAGAAATACGGAATCTCTCTTTCTTCCCTCAGGGACTGAAACAGACTCTGCATTTTTAATTGACTTCATTTAAGAAGTCCTGCAGGTGATTCATATGCGTATTAAATGTGAGGCGCTCAGCTTCCACCAACCTTCCACTAGTCTCCAGCCTGACTCTTAACAGACTCCAGTAGCCAATGCAATCGCCTAGATCTTAGATTCCTCTCCATTATGCTGAAGTGTCAGGTCTGAAAGGGTCTGTAAAGGGATCTTCTACATTTTTGAAGAAAGTTAAGCAAGTAAGAAACATCTCTGTCCAGGGTGCATATTTTCACTCTTAACAGCCTGTGATATGTAAGTATGCAATGTAAAATCCACTCGCTTATGTCAACTGAAGAAAATGACTAGACAAGTCTCAATCATTTTAGGAGATTTATTTGCCAAAGTTAAAGACGCGCCCAGGGAGACAGGTCTATGCCTTTCTTAGAAGTTGATTTGAGGGCTCCAGATTTAAAGGGGAAAGGGTGGGATATTGAGAAGCACAGTGTTCGCACAAACAAATGGGGGCAGAGGAACAACGTCGGGAATCTGCCTTTTATGTAAGAAAACACAGACAAAATTTGGTAGGGGAGCAATTGGATATGCATTTGCGTCTGGCAGACTGAAGGGACTGCACCTGTGAAGATAAGCTACCCATTTTCATTGCTATGGTGAAGTTTTAACAGCTCACCAGGAATTTCCTAATGGGCAAAATACGAGAGAGGTATATAACCTTCATCTGGTAGCCATCTCATTTAGGAACCAAAGTAGGGATGCGAGTTTGTGTAACCCAGTTCCCAGCCTGACTTTTCCCTCTGGCTAAATGAGTCTGGGGTCCCACAGTTTAATTTTCTTTCACACTTACAAAAGCAGTAAGAGCACCAAAGGGTACGTAGGTCCAAGTGAGAACTTAAATGGAGAAACCACTAAGGAGCTTTTATTAGTGACTAATTAATGCTTTGGGTGATGTCAACTCACTGAAGAAACAGGCCCGGCTCGGTGGCTCACGCCTATAATCCCAGCACTTTGGGAAGCCGAGGCGGGTGGATCACGAGGTCAAGAGATCAAGACCATCCTGGTCAACAAGGTGAAACCCTGTCTCTACTAAAAAAAATACAAAAATTAGCTGGGCACGGTGGCGCGCGCCTGTAGTCCCAGCTACTAGGGAGGCTGAGGCAGGAGAATTGCTTGAACCCAGGAGGTGGAGGTTGCAGTGAGCCGAGATTGTGCCATTGCAGTCCAGTCTGGGTAACAAGAGCGGAACTCCGTCTCAAAGAAAAGAAAATGGTCTTGTTTCAAGAAATAATTTTATGGGAACATTTTATCAGCCAAGTTGAGTTTCAGTTTTACAAAATTACTAACTGGAACTTAATAAACAATTTTAAAGTTGCCTCAAAAAAAGTATAAAATATTTTCATTTTTGTTCAAAATGGAGAATATTTAACTCTGTAAGCCCCAAACAACTGAATGGATCCTTCTTTTGGCCAAGGGCATTGCAAAGTGAATCTGAAAAACTAGATCAAGCCAAGCTGGAAAGAGGGGGTCAGACATGCCTCATTTTACCTTCCTCCCTTTGGAATTCAGGTACGGCTGATCAGCATTAACATTAAAACAGAGAGCCTAAGATTGACAAAACAGACAGTTTGCAGCAATAAGAAACAAAATTCCAACCTGACTCTAGTATAAGATCCCTTAACACATAGAGGGACATGAAAGAAATCGAAGTAGTTTACCCCATAATATATCTGTTGACATATTTTGAAACAGCCCGGCAAAGTTGTCTCTTGTGGGGATATCTACATTCCATAGAGAGCCCTTCTCTTTTTCCAGGCAGTTTTTAGGATGTAATAAGAGACATTTACTTCTTACTCTCTGAAGCCTGCTACTTGGAGACTTCATCTACATAATAAGAACCTGGGGGCTTTCACAACCGCCTGTATTTTGACTACAAACATTTCTTTCTGTTGACTTCAGCTTTTTAGGCAGAGCTTTCCCTTTCAACCAGTTGCCTTCAGGACACTTTTGAATCTACCTATAACCTGGAAGCTCCCAAGCCACCCTTTTTAACCCCCTCCCTTGCTTCAAATTTTCCTTCCTTTCCAGACCAATCCAATGTACACCTTGCATGTATTGATTGATATTTGCCTATACCTTCTGTCCCCCTAAAATGTATAACATCAAGCTGTAATTCACCCACTTTGGGCACATGTTCTCAGACTCTCTTGAGGCTGTGCCTCAGGCCTTAATCATATGTGGCTCAGAACAAATTTCTTCAAATATTTTAGAGAATTTAATTCTTTTGTTGTTGACAATCGATACATTTGTCATGCCAGGTTTTCTTCCCATCCTGGATATTTATGCTCACTAATCAATATTTAAAAATCTAATTTCTAGAATGATCTAATTTTTTAAAAATTCAGGTCAGGCATAGTGGCTCATACCTGTAATCCCAGCGCTTTGGGAAGCCAAAACAGGTGGATCACCTGAGGTCAGGAGTTCAAGACCAGCCTGACCAACATGGTGAAACTCCATCTCTACTAAAAATACAAAAAATTAGCCAGGCGTGGTGGCAGGTGCCTGTAATCCCAGCTATTCAGGAGGCTGAGGCAAGAAAATCACTTGTACCCAGGAGGTGGAGGTTGCAGTGAGCCAAGATTGCACCATTGTACTTCAACATGGGTGACAGAGTGAGACTCCATCTCAACAACAACAACAACAAATTCAACAGCAATATTTGCAATTATTATGTCTATATCCTTAGTAGCCCCAAAGAAATAAGAAAATGTTGGTTGGTTGCCAGATCTTTTCCCTAGATGAAAGGCTATTTTTCTAATTTTGTAACACTGTGTATTAGTCTACGTTTGCATTGCTATGAAGAAATACTTGAGTCTGGGTAATTCACAAAGAAAAAGAGTTTAATTGGCTCATGATTCTGCAGACTTTACAGTAAGCATGATACATCTTCTCAGCTTCTGGGGAGGACTCAGGGAGCTTTTACTCATGGCAGAAGGAAAAGTAGGAGCAGGCACTTAAAATGGCAAAAGCAGGAGCAAGAGTGAGAGCAACGGGGGAAATGCCACACTTTACAACAACCAGCTTTTACAAGAACTGACTCACTACCACCAGTACAGCACCAACCTGTAAGGAATGTGCCCCCATAACCCAAAAACCTCGCACCGGACCCTACCTTCAACATTGGAGATTACAATTCAACTTAAGTTTTGGGTGTAAAATATTCAAATGATATCACATAGTATTCTGATACTTTTCTTTGTCTTGATTAGGGTGGCATTTATTAAAAGTAATTTAAGAACAGTATTAAAAAAATCGGTTTCCATATAATCTTTGTCTATGAATAAATAGTAAATGTAATGTTATTTTTAACAATCTCAATCGCACTTAAATAACAATACACATTTTTAACTTTTAATTCTGAAAAAAATAAACTTGCAAAAAATGTATACGTA